GCCTTTCGGTGGCAAAGGACCAAGCACCCGGCTCTTGCCAGGCCACCGACACCAGAAGCTGATGATAACCTGCTCGCGGGCCGCAGGAGCAGCTTCCCCCGGCACCGGGAGCACCTCGCTGCCGGGCACCTGCGCCACTTGCCCTTCTGCTAGCCACGCGACAGCTAGTACCTCAATGGCCAACACTCCGATGGCAAGGGCTCCTGCAAGGTACACGTAGGTCTCAAAGGAGTTCAGGATCACCGTGTAGCAGCCCTAGGAAGGACAAAACGTGGTGAGATGCCGGAGCAGCACATCGTGTTGTGCTCGCAGCACAGCCCTCATTAGTACAAGAGATGCTCTCAGATCCAGGCACCATAAGCACGGCTCCCTGTCACCCCCTCAACCTGCCCCACGGCACAGGACACAGGCCCACAGGACAGTGCCAGGGATGGGAAGGTTTTTGTGTAGTGGGATGGAAGCGGCTCACACCCACAACCCCTCACTGACCACAGGGAACTGCATCTTCTTGCAGGGCAGGCAGGAGCAGCACCATTCTGGATCACTCCCTCTGCAAAGGGCAGAGAAAAGGACCCCCAGGACAGATGACAGACAGCCCAGGTTGGCTAGGGATGACGATTTATTGAAAGCCAAGGCAGGATATTCTTGAATCTTTTCTCACAGCCAGCAGCTTTCACACCCCAGGACCATTTCTCTGTGCCTTTACCCAAAGGAACATGGATGAACAACTGCTGATCTTCTTGCTACAGGAGAATTAATTTCATTAAGAACTCAGGGCCATGCACTACAGCAATCCTTCCACTTACACAGCATAGCCACCATCATCATTAATGTCATTTAGTATTGGTCATACAATTAACAGCAGGCAGATCTTCTGCAAAGGTTTCAGGATTTTTCTGAAAATCACCAGCTTATCCTGGCCTCAGTTCTCCCAGCCTAAAATTCCAACCCACCAGCAGATTTCTGCAAACAGGTCACACATGAAGAGAAAAAGCAGACTGGAGTTTGTTCAATGTAAAAAGTAGCTCTCCTCCCCACTGAGCAAATACTTCACACACACACGCTTAACGCCATCCATACTGCTGGGATGTTTCAACCACCTGATCTTTTTCTTTCCACCCAAAAAGAAAATGTCTAAACTGCAAAGACAGCACAACAGTTACCTAGTGTTGCCCATGCCAGACCCTGCTCACTGCGAGTGGAGAGGAGAGCAAGGGAGAGCACAGAGGGTGCCCGACTCACCAGGCCCACCCAGGGAATGCAGGCCGTGGTGGCAGTAACTGAACTGCTAAAACCACGCTCTTGTCAACATGAGACCGCTCAGCAGCAGCTCTGTTCTGGCCATGGTTTAGCCCAATTTTCAGGGAAAAGCATCCAGCCCAGCAACAAAATGTTTGGGTGCTTGCCAGAACTCCAACCTTAACCCAGCTTCCAGCATGCCCTGCTCAGCTGGGTACAGATGGGGGTGTGAGCCCAAGTGCGGCCAGCACTGTCCTACCAGCAAGGCGTCCCAGGAGCCTGACTTTGCTCCAGGAAAGCCTGAATTCAGCCGGCAGTTGCTTGGGAGTCTCCCATTTCACAGAAGTGCCTCACTGTGGGCTTGGTGACACTTGCTGTGCACACTGCTTCTCCCACCAACACCGCGGTGACAAGGGCTCACAGGAAACCATCCCTCTCCTCCGAAGTGGTAGGCCTCAGCATCACCGCTTAGGGAAAATTAAATCTGTTATCTGCTTTAACCCTCTTTCTTAAAACGCATTTCTTGTTCCCTCCCTGCTGTTTGTCATCTCTTTCCCATCCATTCACGGCAATCAGAGCTGGCAGAAGCAGTACAGTGCCGCCTTCTACAATCTTTCACCCACAGTACAGTGCCTTTGCCAACCATTTCCAGCTGCCAGGCAAGGAACAGCTCACATGCTACCTCTAGGCTCCTTTGGTCTCCCTCAAAATCTGCCATCAAGTCCTGAGAAGAGGACCACTGCTTAGTCTGGAGAGAAAAGGAGGGTTGTACCCATGGTCACTACAGGGCTCAGCTGGCTTATTAATGCCGAGGTGAACACAGACAGGAACTTGGCTAGAAAGGTTATTAAACTTTAAATGATTAAACTGACCCCCAACATCAGAAGGATGTGGAACTGTTAGAGCAAGTCCAGAGGAGGCCACGAAGATGCTCAGAGGGCTGGAGCCCCTCTGCTATAGGGACAGGCTGAGAGAGTTGGGCTTGTTCAGCCTGGAGAAGAGAAGGCTCCGGGGAGACCTTATAGCACCTTCCAGTACCTGAAGGGGCTACAAGGAAGCTGGGGGGGACACCTTTTTACAAGGGCCTGTAGCAACAGGACAAGGGGTAACAGGTTTAAATTGAAAGTGGGGAGGTTTAGATTAGATGTCAGGAAGAAATTCTTCACAGAGAGGGTGGTGAGGCACTGGAACAGGTTGCCCAGAGAAGGTGTGGATGCCCCATCCCTGAATGTCTTCAAGGCCAGGCTGGATGAGGCTTTGAGCAACCTGGTCTAGTGGAAGGTGTCCCTGCCCATGGCAGGGGGGTTGGAACTAGATGATCTTTAAGGTCCCTTCCAACCCAAACCATTCTATGATTCTATGATACCTCACATCTTGATGACAATGTAAGGAAACATGACTATAGTATCATTGTCGATGACATTATGCTGGACTGTTTTCTTCCAGTCAGGTATTGGGAAAAACTGCCAAGTCAAGAGGCCTGGCAAAAAGAAATGCCCTTTTTCTACCGTAAAGAGTAAAAAAACAGAGAAATGCAGTTTTTAACACTTCTCTTCCCTGGAAAACAGACACTGTTTTATGTGGCTGTTTAACCCTTGATCTCTCAGTTGCATATGTTGTCGATGTGAAGTCATTGTGAACTAAACTGGAGCCACTACTGCAGCCGGTGAGAGCCAACTCCATCCTCTCCTCGCTGACCTGTGCTGGCTTGAAAATGAACTTCTCAGAGATAGCACTAAACCTTCAGAAACACAACAAAACTTGATGTAAATTTCTACCCCACCTCTCAATCCCTTGGGAAAATCTTCATAAACCTGCTGATGCAGCACAACATGAACTTAGCAGTGCACACAATGAAAGGGGATTTTCAGAATCAGATACACCATGACTTCAAAAGCTGGCAAAAGTGTAATTAGGATGTGAGCTACAGTCAGAATAGCACGGTCTCCCAGCTTCAACAGCTACCCATGACCACCCCAGCCATCTCCCTGCCCACTGTGAAACTTTTTTTCCTGGCGTTCGGCTTCCCTTACCTGTCGGTTCTGAAACCTCTCAACACCTGCGAGGCAGGCTTCCTTGTTGACAATCATCCCTTCCCGGCTCTGGAGTTCTCGCTGGCAACATGCCTCTGGTGTCACCTTTTCCAAAGAGGAGTGTGGAAGATGTGGGACTGCTTCAAAATCGTCTGGGCCGTTCACTCCACAGCAGGCAAACTGGGGAGAGACAGGCACAGGGAAGAAAGGAAGACAGAGTCGACACTTGACCCTGAAAGCAGATACAAGAAATCTACCAAAGTCTTATTCTTGTAGGGATCAAAGCTCTAGTCAAAGCAGAGACAAACAACAGTTGTTCCCAAAGAAGCGCGTTGTGCTCGTACCTTGGAGCTTCTGTTTCATCAAAGCCTTTCTACGAAGTCCCACTGTACCCATGTCATACTGTGGCATCGAAGGTACCACTGGGCATATTGCCACAAACTACACAGGCCTTTGGAGCACATCCAGAACGACTTCCTTGAGATCACCCAGCACGTCTGTAAGGGAGCCAGCAGTATAATCCAGGCTCCCAACCACCCCTTCGCTCCACAGCTAATGGACCATTGCTGCTCAAAAGCACTGCTAGGTGATTCAAGTAAGGTCCCTTTTTAAGGATTCAAGTCATACTCTTGTCTCCTTTCAGTCAGCAAAAGGAAAGGTCTTTAATAAAGTCCTGAATCAGCATGAAGGGCAGCAATCATCTTTTTCTTTTAAGATTAAAATTGACTTTTCATCTGCAGAGCCTGACAACCTGCTTTTCACTCCTGAAGGGATACACCATGGGCTGTACTGAGCACTAAGTACTCTCTTTATGTGTGTACTCTGTGTACACACATAAACAGAACTTCTTGTAGTAGATAATAACTCTAGTTCCAACGACAGCTGGTCTTTGACCTGCCTGATTAGGATTGTAGTAACGAGGTCAATTTTGGTGGCCAATATGTCCATACTGAAAATACACCATTAGACACACTCCTGCCTAACCTGCCACTTACCAACTCATTTCACAAGAGCTAACATAAAGCCATCAGTTAGCACCAGTTTTTGGCTGCTGATGGCCGGGAATAGCTCTGAAGTAGTCTGCAAGGTGAAAGGTCCAGGGTATTCGGTGGCAGACAGCTCCACAGCCTTTTGGGCCTGCTGTTTGAAAACTGGGGGTACCCAGTCGGGAAAAATGCCCCAGGCTTTCGCAAACCACATCACTGGGAGCATCTCTCTCAAGACCAACGGCAGCTCACTTCATGAAAGACCGTCTGCCAGTCGCATTCTCATCTCCCTCCCACCACTGCCACAGACCCCAGTGCTACGCTTGGCACAACAGGCTGGTTGAAGCAGGCCGAGCCTGGGCGCGCTGAGGGTGCGGGCTGAACACCACGTTGATGGCCGATGACCACGGGCAGCACGAGACTGGCACAGCCTGACTTACTGTGATCATAACAGAGTTCCAGGTGGAAGAGAAGACATCCGTGTCATTGTTCCGCAGGTAATGCTTCTTCAGCTCCTTGGTGAAAAACTCTCTGGTCAACTGAAACACACAGACAGGTGGAAATGTAAAGGCTACTGCCAACACCTTTCCCAAGCACTTCCCAAAGCTCCCTTCTGTGAAAGCTGGGTGTTTGGTTGGTTTGGTTTTGGGTTTTGTTTTTATTTTTTTGCAAACCTCAAAGGACAAACTTGGTAAAAGCCACTGGCTGAACCATAACTATATCCAGGGTAAATTGTACCTGTTGAATAAAACGGTTGCCCATAAAAAATCAGGGATTGAATTACACCTATACTTGTAAGATAATGTTTACACTTAAAGGTTGGGTGTTTTTTTTTCAATTTTCAGTGCTATTTGAAAGTGTTCCGTAAGTTGAAACAGATTTTAGAAAGATCTTCAAATTTCCAGCCAAATTGCAGTTTAACTTACTATGCTTCATGAGGTCTGCAATCGAAGCCTGATTTTCCCCCCTCACTTTCCAATTCAAAAAACTTAACCTCCTACTAACAACAGAGGTACTGCTCTGAATTTACGTCCATGTGTGAGAAAGCAGAATGAAGCTCTAATATGAAACTTTCTGGGAATGAAAGGAAGTAAAAAACATGTAATGAATATTAAATGTTCACGTCAACTTACGAATCACAAAAAAAGACCCTTTCCCTGACAATGTTTTAGATTATCTAAAATAACGCACACACATGAAGAAAAAGAATAATCCTCTTTATATTTCCAGTGTTTAGATAATTTAAACATTTTTCCTAAGGTCAACAATATAAACAAATGGAATTTCATTTACTCCTGTTTACATTCACAGGAAAACATAAAAACTGAATGGACACTTTGGCTGAGAGTCTTCGCAAAAAGTTATACACCTTAAAATTACATTCACTTAGCATCACCCTCTGGAGGACTAGTAAATATACAAACTTAATGGTCTTGTTAAACTGAACACCCCGATTCAACCTCGTCTTTCCATCACTTCAGGATGAAGACTTCAAGGAGTCTCCTCTTCAGGTTCCCAATAAGTCTTGTGTGGTCCCGACTCCAAAATACCTTGTGATTTGTGATGCGCACAGGCAAAATCTCTCTGCCGCTGCAAAGCCCCAGCGAAGGAGTTGGGCTTGGCTGGATACAGCCCTGCTCTAGTGTTGTATATTTGCAGGATCAGGATATTAAGCTGCCTGACAACGCCTCCCCCCTCCACCCCTTTTTTCTTCTCTGTTGTTCACACAGCACTGCAGATGCAGTAACATACACTGCTACAAGCTGGTTTCAGGTTCTTGATATGCAACGTGAAATATCGCACATACGCATACATATGTATGAGATGTATGGGTGGGCACAGAAGCACGAGCACGGAATTGTTTGTTTCCTTTGTAACTGTATCACAGAATTCAAGGAAAAAAAAAAAGGCGGTTGGTGACTCTTGAAAAGACCCCCGATTATCACTGAATATTGACTTCTCTTTTACAGATACAAACTGAGGCCAAAACTAATGATTAAACCAATACTGGGTAAAACTTGGTCACAAAGATTTGAATGATGCAGGTAGCTCAATCTCACTACCTTTTAATTAGATACGCCGCTAGATTCCTAAATCACCTTTATGAGACAAGTATTAAACTCCTTGCTTTTGAGTACTAAAATACCAGAGAATATGGCATCTTCCTTTGGGAATTGGGTGCACTGGGGACAGTCAGGTTAGAAGATGTTGAAATATGTCCTCAGTGTTCTCCTTTCCTTTCCTTTGTCTGCATACTTCATCCACGCAGCATTCTACCCTGCAGAGGCAGCAGCACGTTTTTTTTTGATGTTTGTCTGTTTCTGAAGCAGACTTTGAAACTGATATTACCATCGGTAATAATCCCAGCCGGCTGCCTTTGGCGGGGTCTAAAACAAGAGAGTCATTTAAATATAAAGTGAAACCTTTATTTTGACAGCAGCAACCCCAGAGGAAATTGTTCAGAGTTTGTGTGCGATTTTTACGAGATCTGGCCCAAAACAAAGCCTAGTGCTGGAAGGGTAAGTTTGCCAGGAAAATAACTGATTCCATTTTGTTGCTATTAAACTGTTTGTCCTGAGCATCTGAAGTTCAGAAAAATGTTTAAAAAAAAAAAGATCAGCAGAAGCATCTATTTTCTTTTTTAAAAACTGCTGACAAAGGAGGATAAAAGTCAGTGAGACAGCCCTACTCACACGCCCACGGCCCCCCTCTCGCTGAAGCGAGTAATGGCACGGGTGAGGTCTGCGCACGTTGGAGTACTGTGACAAGAGCTACTCAGAAGGGAGCAAAGGACCTACTAATAAACTAATCTTTGCACACACTTCTGACAACACAGATACGCCAGCCACAGGCACGAACACCGAACAGACACACAGCTGCGAGGTTTTCTAGCTGCTCTGGGGGAACGTCTCCAACACAGAAGCAGCACACGCACGTGGACATTTACCTGCCAGTGAATGAAGTGGGACTTTTTTGTCACATGGGTTCAAAAAATAGCTTGGCGGGGATTACTGTAGCCAGATGACGGAGACTTATGGAAAAGGGGGCAAAAAAAGGTGTGGTGGCACTGCCCAGGAATGCTGTGCAAGAAGCTGGCTTCACAGTGCCTGCTCAGAAAACAGGGCACACTCCTGTCCACCTGCATCTGCCTGGAGCATCCTAATGTTTCTGACACCATACAGTGCTTGTACTGTAGGTACAGTCACCAGTCCTGCACTTCTCTCTTCCACAGTGCCTTCCACCTAAGACACTCCAGCTTCCTATCCAAGGGTTGTACAGTGCATATTCTTCAATTTTTGCCTTATGTCTGAGGAAACAGAGGTATCAGGAACCAACTCAACTTGTCTATGAAGTGTCAGAACCAGGGCTATAAAAATCCAAACTCCATCCAGAGCCCTGCCACTGAACTAACTTCTTCCTACCATTCCACTTGCTTGCTTGCTAAGACAATTCACCGAGAGAAAGAGTCAAATATCCCTCCAGGGTTTTTCCCATCCAGACCCCTGAAGGGCATATAAGGAGCAATTCCTTAGCATGTCAAATCGCTCTTCCACAGCCTCTGTTGTTCATGAAGACATTGTTTTAGATGTCTTTTAGATGATAGGGGTTCTCCACCCTCCAAAATCTCCTTTATAAAGGACAAGAAACTCTGGTACCCCCCCTAGCTAATTAACAACAGCCTTCCTCTTCAGAGACTGCTTTTAAACAGTTTTTTGGGAGTCCAGCTGGACTTGCACAACACAGCAGCTCACCATGGATAATACCACTTTCATTCACCCCCCCACCAGCCTCTGCTTCACTGACTCTTCCTCTCATGTCAAATCTCAGCAGAAAACATGTCTTTTCTCCCTTATTTTTGTCTCTTAATTTCTTGCACTCCCTCAGCTATTAATAATTGAACTCTGCTGAGTGTTTTAGAACTAGTTTGGATGTAACACACTACACAAGAGAAAGCTGCACTGAACATCATCTGGAAAGCAGATAGAGTCTATCTTTCTTTGTTGTCTCAGTTTATACACCCAGTGAGGCCACAGCCATATGGGCTGGTGCAATGACCATCACAGGAACCCACCCAGTAAGTTGCCAATAAATTTAGGTTGCCTAAACATGTATTTACCACCACACTAAGTCATTTGCCTTGAAAGCAACTTGCTTTGCAGGGATGAGAAAAGCACGTCTGAACCTGACCTTAAATTGCTACTATGAAGAATTCGTCCCAGCTTGGGTTCACAGAAGGACTATCCCTGTCCCCACAGACATCCTCTCCAGCCATCTAGCTTCACCCTAACCCAAAGATGACAGCAGAATTAGCCACAGTGGTTACCAAATCAGAGGAGCTACCACCAAAAGATATAGCAACAGCAAAACAAGGTTGGTTTGGGGTTTTTTTCAGAAGAAACTTGAGGAGAGAACAAACCACAAGAATTTGCAGACTGAGCTTAACTTCTGCACAGAGCCATCTCCAGCTATGTTGGGCTCTGACGTTCTTCATTCCTTCCCATTTAAGCCTTTCCTGTCAATCACTGTGACAAAGTGGGAAGCTGGTGATGTAAACAAGGAGACAAGCTCAGAAAAGAGAGAGGTTTGTTCCCCTCCAAGTTTTATCTCACAAAACACGGCCAGATGCCACAGATGTCTGGAGTAACCACTGCGACCTTATCTTGCAAGGGAACACATCCTCACGTGTCCCATGGATTCCGTGAGAGTGGAAGGTACCAATGCTTTGCCCAGAAGCAGATGTAAGCAGGTTCCTCGCGACTGAGGGAAGAGGACACAGCCAGCCTTGCCGTCACCCCGCACACAGGACTCGCAGCGAGCCTGCCTACTTTCTTATACCAGCTTCCCAGAGGGACGGAGGGAGATGGGAGCAGTCAGCTGCTGGCTGCTCACCCAGCCCCTGCTCACCAGGGGCTGTGGAGCCTATATCTGGGTCCACAGGGCGGTTTCTACATGTGCGGTCTGCTGCTTGTGCTGAACCAAAGGAATTCTCTAAAAACTCCTAACAGCAGAGCTGTAATGACCAGAGCACACCAGACTCCCAAGCTGCAACCTATTTACAGAGCAGTAACTGTTCCCGTGAGGGCATGGTCTCAAAGCCTAAGCTGGAATGGAGCACCCACTCTGTGTACACATACCGTCCCTTCCCCACTGCCTTCACCTCTGAGGCAAAGACAAAAGACCACCAGTTTATAACGGGGAAAAAAAATAAAATCCTTTCACTACCTACCCCCAAGACCCTCCTACCGCACAACACCACACTGACTTGCTGCGAGCTTACCACGTCTTTATTCTTTGCTTATCAAAAGATTTTCTGTTAACAAAATTAAAAGTATATCCTAGCTCAAGAAAACCATCATTATTCATGTCCCTTCTATGCTCATGCCACACTTCTGTCAATGCTTTTTCACAGTCCTCACTCAGACTGCTGTTTCAAAGATGGGCTGAGCTGAGAAGGACAGACCTAGCTCAGTAAGGCTCTTCTTTGCACATGTGGGAACATGAAAAAAATGCACAAAGCTTTGCTGGTTAGAGAAACAAGTCAGACTGGGCTTGCTACTAGTGTAGTAAAGCTTACTCCTCGCATAGGATAGGGATGATGGCCATCTAATAATGTGCACAGCAACAGGGGAGGG